TCCCGCCCTACTGCCCATATAACCGCCTTACTAATCGTCCAAGCTAGCCCGCTGCTAACTGGATTGTTTACCCACGGCTACAATACTGATCCGCTCTTCACCTCTAATGGCCACCAAGCCCTGACCACTCAACGAGGCCACAACCGCCTAAAAGCTAGTACTGACCGAATTTGGGTTCCATCCTACCAAGTATTACAGGAATTACTGATACAGGAGGTTCATGACGCTAATTGCTCAGGACATTTCGGGGTTGATAAAACCTTGAAAATGCTCCAACGTCTTTATTACTTGCCGAATGCAAGCCACAACATGCACTAATATGTGGCCTCATGTCCCACCTACCAACTAATGAAATCCTCTCGCAAAAAACCAGTTGGATTACTGCAACCGTTAGAACCGCCCACCAAGCTCTGGACACACGTGTCCATGGACTTCGTGACAGGACTGCTGGCTGGCGTGTCCCAAAATTATGCTGTACTCGTGGTCGTTAATCGACTCACGAAAATGGTTCATTTCGCGCCAAGCAAGACGACGATCACATCCGAGAAAACTTCCAAGCTGTTCATCTCAACCGTCGTTCGCCTGCACGGAATCCCGAAAGCGATTGTGAGCGATCGTGACCCCCGATTCACGTCCAACTTCTGGACAAAAATGTGGGAACAGTATGGTACACGTCTCCATCTGTCCATGGCTTACCACCCACAGACCGACGGTCAGACTGAACGGACAAATCAGACCACTGAGTGGCTGATAAGGACAACCTGTACCGACTCAACCCAATGGGAAGATTCCCTTCCTCTGATCGAGTTCGCATATAACAACGCCCTTTCGTCCACGACTTCCCAATCACCGCTCTACCTGAATTAGAGTCTCAACCCCACGACTCCCACTATACCGTTAGTTGAGAGCCTTGCCCCACGGTCGCAACAGTTCGTCAAAGACTTACAGACTGCAACTAGTCCTAGGAGACAACAGTTCTTACCCTTGTCTCCTAGGCAACTAGTCCTTTTGGACACAAAGAATCAGGGGTTGAGTTTACCACATAAACTCCGCCCGAGATTCTGTGGGCCCTTTTGGATTGCTTGAATGGTGACACCTATCATTGCTAAGTTACTGTTACCGGACGACTGGTGTATCCAAGATTCATTCCACGTCAGTCTCCTTCGACAGTTCATTGCAAACATGGATGATCTTGACCGACAACGACTCTACCCTTTGATCAGACCCGTCCCTGAGCCAACCATCAAACCACAGCAGATCCTCTCCCACCGAATCCGCTGAGTCCAAGGTCAGCGGGTTTTGGATTTTTTAGTTCGACGAGTTGACCGTACGTGCGACGACGACATGTGGGTCCCAGCTGATACAATACTAGATTAATTAGAAATGTGGGTGAACAAGGGACATATGGTGTTAGAGTTGTACTCTCTAAGAACATATGCCTATCTAGCCTATAACTTCTACATACTAACATATGTATAAGTTGACACACCCCCTAGGCTAGAAAAGGGGTAGTGCTGAGCAAGAAACACGCAGCTCAGGGTGGCACTACTAGTCCAACCTCTGAGGCAGGAGTCTAAAGACCAGTCAGTAAGAGTACCGAAAAGACGAGCAAACAAGGGTGGCACTACTAGTCCGGCCACTGGAAGAGAAGCCACAAGGCCAGTCTGGAAGGTATAAATATAGAGGAGTACACAATCAAGGTCCTAGCATGTGAGAGTCTACAGGAACTAGACCAAGCTACAAACAGTGCCGCTGATGATCTTTAGGCCCAAGCGCCTCAGTAAAGATATCAGTTGTATTCGCACCTGAGGCCAAGTGTACTACGTGGGCCTGGTGATGCTGCTGTAGCTCGCGCATGAGGAAGTACCGCAGCTGGATGTGCTTCGCTCTGCCCTCAAGTCGAGGCTCCTGACACGGGAGGATCATGGCCTTGTTGTCAGCGTACAGAACTGGGGCAGAGCTAGGCCGCTCACCTAAGTCGGCGAGATAGAAGGTCAGCCAGCGGAGCTCCTATGCTGCTATGGCACCGGCGTAGATCTCAGCCTCACAGCTCGACTGGGCAACAGACGAGGAGCGAGTGGACCTCCACGAGATGGCACCTGAACCAAGGCTAAAGCAGTAGCCCTGGGAGGACCTAAGGGTCTCAGCGTCGTCTGCCCAAGAAGCGTTAGTGTGCCCAGTAAGGTCTATGGTCCTTAGGTCTGTGTGCCCACAGGGTCCCAGCAGTAGCCCCATGCCCGATGTACTTGCTAGATAACGCAAAACCCTCTTAGCGGCCGAACAGTGCTGTGGTCGGTGTCTGCCTGTGGCCACAAAGCGAGCCAGGATGCTGAGAGGGCATGCAAGATCTGGACGAGTGCAAGTCATCAGGTACATGAGGCAACCCACCAGCTCTGCGTAAGGACCACTAGGCTCTACATACTCCTCATGGACTAGAGCCGAGAGCCTCTAATCTACTGGCAGAGGTCTGGGCTATGCGGAGGAGAACTGAAGACTGAACCTCTGAAGGACCTTGTGCACCAAGTGGAACTGGATGAGAGTGATGGTGCACGCTGCTCTGTCCCTGGAGATCTGCAGGCCAAGGTAGTGGCGCAGCTCTCCTAGGTCGGTGCAGGTGCATCTCTGTCTGCAGTAGCGAAGAACAGGTCGTCTACGTAGACAAGGATGTAGAACGGAGTCTGGCCAGCACGAACGAAGAGCGAAGGGTCTGCAGAGGACGGAAGAACTGCAGGTCAGCTAGCGTAGCACACAGTGTGTCGTGCCACTTACGGGGCGCCTATCGCAGGTCGTAAACGGGGCGCCAGAGGAGCCACTGGGTCCCAGGAGGGAAGGTATTGGTGAAGCCCTGCGGTCGGTGTAGGTAGATCTGCTCGTGTAGGCTGCCCTGAAGAAAAGCAGTGGAGAAGTCTAGGGAGTGGAGCTCGTAGTCACGCTGTGCTACTACGTATAGTAGCGCCCGAAGAGTAGTGACCTTTGGGGTCGTGGCGAAGGTCTGAAAGAAGTCCACCCCCTCTCGCTGATTGAAGCCTCTAGCCACGTAGCGCGCCTTGAAGATAGGCAGCTTTCCAGGGGGGCGCTTCATCATGAAGAGCCACCGGCCATCAACTACGTTCACCCCAGGTAGAGGAACTGCGTCGACGTAGGTGCTGGTGGATCTCCAAGATGCCATCTCCTGCTCCATGGCAACTATCCACTGAGAGGCCCAGGGTCCCGAGGTCGCCTCAGCGGAAGTGCGAGGGGTCGGGATGTCAAAGGCGTTTGGGTCACCCTCAGGGACTAGCAGCAAGGAGCAGAGATGGGGAGCAGCCTCGGACAGGAAAGCAAGCTCGTACTGCCAGTCCTCTAGGACGTCATTGCCAAGGGCAGGAGCAGCCTCAATGGATGGAGGACGGACAGGGTCAGAAACCAGAGCGGTGGCATAGTCAAGGCGGCGGGTAGAGGCGAAGTCAGCAATAGCAGCGACAAGTCGCCAAGACTCGAGGGAGGAACAGACGGGTCGGTGACGAGGGAGGCAAGGACCTGAGGAACAAGAGGACGAGTAGCACGAAGGTAGCCACATAGAGGGGGAGGCACGACAGCGAGCGATGACGGAGGAAGCGAAGGCAGGAGGGGAGGACGAGACGCATGGGAACGAAGCAACATAGTGTCACAGGATCGAATGTGTCGAGGAAAGATTGCACTATCGATCAGTACAAGGCGCTTTTATACTTCCAGAGTACATCAGGTAACCAGGTTTATCTTATCCTAGGGGAATAGACCCTTCTAGAAGATAGAATCACCCTGCGTATATCCACGCGAGGCTATTGGCTTTAAGGAATTACAGCAGGATTATGCTAGATAGAGCGCACCAGTACATCCCAAGCCTGGTCGGTGATATAATTATAATAGCAGGATAAACCAAAGGTTAATGGAAAAGGAAGAATAGGAAACCAAATGAGATGGAATAAAAGAAATAAGAAAAGGCCAAGTGGTGTAACGGGATCATACTCTCACACTTCCCCCCCTCAAAGCTGGGTGGTAGAAGTAACACCCTGCTTGACAAGGTAGTCATGCAGAGGACGACGGGCGTTACCCATGTCGGACTCAGGTACCCAGCTGTCCTCAGAAGGATCATAGCCCTTCCAACGGATGAGAAGCTCCACGGTGCCATTCCGGCGACGGCGGTGTGCGAGCACGGACTCGACCTCGTACTCGGGTTCATTCTGGACGAGGACGGGCGGCGGTGGCGGCGGTTGGCGTCTGACGAAAATCGTGTTCGGGTCCCGATAGGGCTTCAGAAGTTGGACGTGGAAGGCGTTGTGAATCTTCCAGGTAGCTCGCAGGTGTAAGCGGAAGGTAACAGGAGTGACCTGTGCTTCAACGAGAAAAGGCCCGCAGAAGCGAGGTCGAAGTTTAGATGGGAGATGGCTGATGTCCAGGTTGCGGGTGTCAAGAAGCACCTGGTCTCCCACCGTGATGGTGTGATCGTTGCGATGGCGATCGGCTTGGCGCTTCTGTTGCTGTTGAATGTCGAGTAGGCGCTTGTGGGTCCGATCCCAAGGCTGATGCATGGTTGTGATGAAATCATGTGCTGGTTGGACTGTAGCTGATGCTGTTGGTTTTTGTGGTGTGAGTGGGTGGCGTCCGTAGCAGAGGAAGAACGGCGTCTGTCCAGTAGCGTCATGCGTAGCATTGTTGTAAGCAAACTCTAGTACGGGCAGGTGCAAGTCCCATTTGGAGATCTCGTCCTTGCAGGCTGCTCGGAGGAGTTGCTCAACAATTTGGTTGAGGCGCTCGGTCTGTCCGTCTGTCTGCGGATGGTAAGCAGATGACATGGCGATTTTGGTCCCGAGGAGAGACATAAGTTCCTTCCAGAACTGGTGAACTTAGGGTCTCGGTCGGAGATGAGTGTGGTTGGAATGCCATGCTGTGAGATGATGTAACGAACGAAGAGTTGTGTTGTTTCTTCGGTGTGTGCTGTCGTGTGTGTCGGGATGAAGTGTCCCATTTTGGAGAGCTTGTCAATGACGACAAGGATGGCGTCATGACCGCTGGAGGTAGGTGGTAACCCGGTGATGAAGTCCAGGCTAACCACTTGCCATGGTTGTTCTGGGACAGGAAGAGGCTGCAGTAGTCCCGCCTTTTTCTGCTTGCTGCTCTTCATCCGCTGACATGTATCACACGAGGTGACGAATGTCTGGACATCTTCTGCTAAGTGGGGCCAGTAGTAGTGCTTTGCGATACCGGTCAGCGTCTTGTTGCTACCGAAGTGTCCGGCGTAGAGGACGTCGTGGTATTCTTCGAGTAGTAACTGGCGCAAAGGAGGGTAATTGGGTACCCAGATTTTCGTTGATCCTTTCCGGTACGCGATGTCACTGTCCCAATGTAGCGGATGTCGCTTTTCTGCCAAGGGAATTTCGGGGTTGGTGGCGTACCCGTGTGTGAAGAGTCCCTTGAGTAGTGGATTCATCCCTTCGACATGAATAGCGGCAACGTGTGCAGGCCGGCTGAGAGCGTCTGCTTTGTTCTTGTGATCGGGCTTGTACACAATGTCGTAGTGGAAGTGTGTCTCGAGGAAGTCGATCCACCGGACCTGCCGCCTGGAAAGGTTGGGTTGTGTCTTCAAGTATTTCAGGCTGCAGTGGTCGGTGTAGACGGTTGTTCTTTGTCCTTCGAGATAGCATCTCCATGCTTTGAAGGCGATGATGATAGCCAGGGCCTCCTTGTCGTGTATCGGGTAGTTTAGTTCTGCCCCGTGCAGTTTCTTACTTAGGTAAGCGATTGGTTGCAGTCCATTCCCTTGATCTTGCATCAAGACTGCTCCCACTGCTTGGTCACTGGCGTCAGCTTCGATGACGTAGTCGCGTTCGGGATCTGGCAAAATGAGTACCGGTGCAGACGTAAGTGCTTGCTTCAGCTGCTCCACGGCTTCCTGGTGCTTCGGCTCCCATTTGTAGGGCGTGTTCTTCTTCAGCAGATTCGTGAGTGGTGCTGCGATTTTCGCATACTGTGGCACGAACCTGTTGTAGTAATTAGCGAAGCCTAGGAACTGCTGCAGCTCCTTCACGTTCTCGGGTGTCTTCCACGTGCGTACGGCCTCGATTTTCTTGGGGTCGACGTGAACTCCTTGAGCGCTCACCATGTGTCCTAGGAACTGGACCTTTTCAAGGGCGAATTCGCTCTTGGACAATTTGACGTAGAATCGTTCTCGTCGAAGAATTTCGAAGACGCGTCGCATGTGTTCGACGTGCTGCTTCATGTCGCGCGAGTAGATGAGTATGTCGTCCAGGTACACCACCACGCACTCGTCCAAAAGTGGTCGTAGAATGTGGTTCATTTCGGCTTGGAACGTTGCCGGTGCGTTGGTGAGTCCGAATGGCATTACCAAATACTCGTACGATCCATACCGAGTTCGGAAAGCAGTTTTGTGGATAGAGTTGTCCGCCATGCGTATCTGCCAGTATCCGGATCGCAGATCCAGTTTGGAAAATACCGTAGCTCCCCGAAGCTGGTCAAGCATGTCATTGATTCGTGGTATCGGATATTTATTCTTGATGGTCTGCTTGTTAAGAGCTCGGTAGTCGATGCACATGCGCAGGCTTCCGTCCAGTTTCAGTGTGAAGAGTATTGGGGCACCGTACGGCGAAGTGGATGGTCGGATGAGTCCTTTGGCTAGGAGATACTCGATCTGTTTTTTCATGTCGGTCAGCTCCGTAGGGCTGAGCCGATATGGTGCTCGGAAGGTCGGCTTCGAACCCGGTTCCTCCACGATCTCGTGTTGATGCGTTCGGTATGGCGGTAGCTCATTCGGAAGATCGTCCGGAAGAATATCTTGGAACTCCTTCAATAATTCCTTGATCTTTCCTGGAGGTTCCGAGGTTCTCTCCCTGTCGTTCTCCGCCTCTGTTGCTATTGCCAGGAACCCTGTGTCAGTTCGCTTCACGTCCTTCTCGAATCGTGCGAGTGTCTCCACTGGGATATCTCCTGTATCGTCCCAGTTGGGTAGCTGTACTCTCCGTCCATTGTTGTAGATGCTTGCGGTGCGGTTCACCCAGTTGATCTCGGGGTTGAATCTTATTAGGAAGTCTCGCCCGAAGATCAGGTCAAGCCCTTTGATGTTGGTGATGGGAAGTGCAGGTCTCCAGCGCAGTGGTCCAATTTGTAGGTGTAGCACTGCTTCGCCGTGTACTGGTAAATTGCTGCCGTCCACCATCGTTGCAGAGAATCCCGAAGGCTTGTACTCTTCCCGAAGTCGGTCGATTACTGCCTTGTCGCAGACGGTGTGTGATGCTCCGCTGTCCACGAGTGCTTGGAGGCGTCGTCCTTTGCAGATGACCTCGAGCACGAGGGGCAGTCGTTGCTCGGAGTACCCAAAGATAGTTTCATTGATTGGGTCATAGGGTACATCCCAATATTCCGTACACACCTTTGTGTTGCTATCTACTCCTGAGCTGGTAGCTGGCCGAGGCTGCTTGGAGAACGGCTCTTCTCCAGGGCCCGGAGTTTCCTTGACGACTGTGCGCGTCACTGATGCCGAAGAACTGGATGCATCCGGAGGAGGTTTTTGGGGTTTGTGCAGCTTCTTATAGACCCCCAGCTTCCTCTTGAGCTGCTTCAGCTCCACCGACGTCTTCCCTGGGGAACGGGTAGTCGTTGTGGGCTGGTGTCGGGAGAGGACGTTGACTCCGTGGAAAGGTCGGCTTCTTTCCACACTCCTTAATTTTTTCCCCAAGTTGTCCGGTACCGGTATAATCTCCACAGCTGTCTGCTTCTTTTGGAGTCCTTCCCGAATTTTCTCCAAGGCTCTAGCCCCTCGAACATCATAAGTTTTCATTAAAGCATCTTTATAAGATAACTTTAACGAACTCTTATAACTTCAGCGTACGTGCACTGGGAGGGAGCACAGCCCTGAAAGATAAGGACTGCCACAACACCACTTAACTGAGCGATAGTGCGCTGGCGAGTCTCTATCTCAGAAAGGACAACGTCGAAAGAGGTCAGGGTGAGGTCACTAGGGTGCTGGCTAAGGAAGTGGTCGCGGGCAGTGGCTAAGCGGTCAGGTAGGCGCATAGGAACAAGGTACAGGGTAGCGCAGAACGACGGGGGAAAGGCCGTGAGTTGGGCAGTAGTGTTAGCAGCATGATAGCTAGTCTCTAGTGCACGGAGGTGAGTGGCAAGATCAGTGACAGTCGGGAAAGTAGAGAGACCAGGGAAGAGCATGTGGAGGATCAAGCGTCCAGCTGAGCCGGAGGCAGGCGTGGAGTAGCGTGCAACTACTGCATCTAGGAAGTCTTTGGCATTTGCTACAGCAGTAAAGCGGGGACGCTCAGATAGGGGAAGCGCATGACTAATGGCAAGTTGCGCTACAGCATCGCGAGAATCCCAGGCAGCGCGAGCGAGCGCAGCTACAGCAAATGCCTCACTCTCAGCAATGGTGGGATCAGCAGAGGGAGGGGATCAGGCGCGGAGGGGTGGGGAAGCAAGCCATCAATATGCAGAGCTAGGGAGTGCCCATCTTGGCGCTGACCTGTCAGTTGTCGGCGAAGATCGACAAGCCAGGCGGCGAAGTCGATAACGTGCCCCTCAACGTCCAGACGTAGCATGGTATCCGCCATCGCGAAACCTCAGCAGCGCAGCGGCACAGGGACACTGTGGCGCAGCGGCACAGGGACACATGTACTCAGCTGCATGGCGAGACAGCGACGTCGCGGGAGGACTCTCCGGAACAGGGGCCGGGCGCACGAGGAGCCGGAGGGCACGCAAGGGGGGGGGGGGGGGGGGGGCGAACAGGCGGTAGGGGCTGGCTAGGCGGTAGAGGGACCGGCGGCAGCGCGAGAAGGGGGCCGGTTAAGCTCGAGAGGGCGGCTGGGCCCGAGGGGCTGGCTAGGGCGCGAGGGGCCGGCGAGGGCGCTAGGGGCCGGCTAGTGCACAAGGGGCCGGCCGGGCATGCGGGGCCGGCTGGGCGTGAGGAGCCGGCTGGGTGCGAGGGGTCGGCTAGTGATCAAAGGGCCGGCTAGGGCGCGAGGGGCCGACTAGGCACGAGGGGCTGGCGACGGCGCGAGGAGCCAGCTAGGGCGCGAGGGGCCGGCGACGGCGCGAGGGGCCGACTAGGGCGCGAGGGGCCGGGGACTGCGCGAGGGGCCGGTTAGGGCGCGAGGGGTGGTGGCTAGGCGCGAGGGGCTGGCGGCGGCGCGAAGGGGCCGGCTAGGGCACGAGGGGCCAGCAACGGCGCGAGGGGCTGGCGATGGCGCGAGGAGCCAGCTAGGCACGAAGAGGCCGGCTAGGCGCGAGGGGCCAGCTAGGCGCGAAGGGCCAGCTACGGCGCGAAGGGGGCCGGCTAGGGGCAAGGGGCCAGCTACAGCGCTAGAGGGGCCGGGTGGGCGCGATAGGGGCCGCGCGGTAGGCTAGGGCGCGGGGTGGAAGCGGGTGGGGGGGGGAACCTAACCTACTCATGATACCATGATAGAATACTAGATTAATTAGAAACAAGGGTGAACAAGGGAAATATAGTGTTCGAGATGTACTCTCTAAGAACATACGCCTATCTAGCCTATAAATTCTACATACTAACATATATATAAGTTGACACCAGCTGCCACCCTCGACAACCACCCATTGGTGCTGTCCTATTCACACGATCAGGCTGCCCCAAATGTGGGTAGTCTCGTCTAGAAGGTGGGAAGGTGCAAGGAAAGTCGCTTTTCCTTATCGAGTACAACCCCGACTTTCGGAAGTCCAGGCTCGGCCCGTCAATTCAGGCTCGAACTACGTTCGAGACTCCAAGCCTACACGCAGCGTCGCATCCAACATTTCTGAGTTCTGAGGCGCCCCAAACCACCTCGCATGTGTTTCGTGGCCTTCCTCGAGGCTCTCCTCTTGCTAGACTAGCAGTGCTTGTATTTAGGCCTGTGCTTCATTTGTACTCAACACACTTTAATAACGACCTCACTATTGCATTACTCAACTCCTATCCAGAGATGATCATAACAGGGCCAAAGCTAGAAAAATTGAACAAAGAATTGTGAGCCTTTCCCTAGAACGTGAGAGCCAATCATTGCATGCCAAGCGTGTAGAGAATGAAGGCATAGCGAAGCGCCACGTCAGCAAGGCGATCAAACCTGCAGCAAGGATGGAAAAGCCACAGGTGTGTGTAAATTTCACGCCCATAGAGACAGCTCTACATGCAGTTAAAGCCCAGACTGCCATCTGTAGAATTCCCCCAATCTGCCTCTCACGAAAACATACTCCCTCACTCTCACCCCCTCACTCTCACTCCCTCACTCTCACTCCCTCACTCACCACCTCCCTGTCTTGCTGAAGTGCCCAGAGTCCATCTCACACCGCAGCAGCATCACTGACTCTGACCTCCTGTTAGTATCACTCTCTCTCACTCCCCCACTCTCTCACTTCCCCACTTTCTCACTCCCCTGCTCTCTCAATTCCCCACTCTCTCACTCCCCCAATCGCTCACTCCCCCACTCTCTCACTCCCCCACTCTCTCACTTTCCACCTCTCTTAGGCATCAGCATACCACCCTGTCTTGCTGAAGTGCCTAGCCTCCATCTCACACCGAAGCACAACTGACTCCTACTTCCTGTTGGCTTCCCTCCCTTCTTACTCGCTCTGTCACTCTCTCACTCAATTTCTCTCCCTCACTCTCAATCCCTCACTCTCACTCCCCCACTCTCACTCCCTCCCTCTCACTCCCTCACTCACTCACCTCCCTGTCTTGCAGAAGTGCCCAGCGTCCATCTTACACCACAGCAGTCCAACTGCTTCACCACTGCTGGTGTTTGGCATCTCAGAGTTTATTCTTCCCCTCACTCTCACTCCCTCGTTCACAACCTCACCCTCACTCTCTCTTCTTTTCACTCACTCCCTGACACACCGCTCTGTCTTAGCTGAAGTGTCTAGCATCCACCTCACACCGCAGCAGCACCACCGAATCGTTGTTGGCGTTGGGGTCTCTCACCCATTCATCAACCCGCTGACTCCCTCACTTGGTCCCTCACTCTCAACCCCCCTCTCTCACTACCTAACTCACCCCCCTGTCTTGCTCAAGTGCCCAGCGTCCATCTCACACCGCAGCAGCACCACTGCATCATTGTTGTTGGTGGTGTTGGCAGCTGTCAATCTATTCACCCCCACTCCCATCCCCTTACTCTCGCTCCCTCGCTCTCACCCCCTCACTCTCACCCCCTCTCTCTCACTCCCTCACTCGCACTCCCTCACTCGCACTCCCCCACTCTCACCCCCTCACTCTCACTCCCTCACTCTCACCCCCTCTCTCTCACTCCCTCACTCGCACTCCCCCACTCTCACCCCCTCACTCTCACTCCCTCACTCTAAACCTCTCACCCTCACTCTCAACCCCTCTCACTCCCTCACTCGCTCACCTCCCTGTCTTGCTGAAGTGGCCAGCGTCCATCTCACACTGCAGCAGCGCCACCAAATCCTCACTGCTATTAGAGTCTCTCAACCGGCTCATTTTCACCACTCCCTAACTGCCCTTCACTCACGCACCCATTCATCCTTCACTCCCTCTCTCCCCAACTCTCCGCCCTGTGTTGCTCAAGTGCCCAGCGTCCACCTCGCACCGCAGCAGCACCACTTCTTCGCTGTTGGTGTTGGCCTCCCTCACCCATTCATTCACCCACTCACTCCCTCACTCTCACCCCCACTCTCTTCCTCACTCACCGCCCTGTCTTGCTGAAGTGCCCGGCGTCCATCTCACACCGCAGCAGCACCACCGAATCCTCACTACTATTAGCGTCTCTCAACCGCGCCACCCACTTGGCTGGTTCCCAGTAGTTCACTCTCTGGTCTGCAATGGGTGGCAGTGGGGAGGGTGGAGAGGGGGGTGGAGAGGGGGGGGGAGAGGGGTGGGGAGAGGGGTGGGGAGGGGGGCGAAGAGGGGAAGGGAGGGAAACAGCGGGGGAAGGAGGAGCACCACCGAATCGTCGCCGCTGTTAGCGTCTCTCAACCGAGCCACCCACTTGGCTGGTTCCCAGTAGTTCACTCTCTGGTCTGCAATTGATACTGATTGCAAGGACGGAAGGGAGGGAGGGAGGGAGGGAGGGAGGGAGGGAGGGAGGGAGGAAAAGGAGGGAGGAGGGCAACAGGGAAGGGATGATGTACGCCTGGCGTCATGCGAAATTGTAAGGAGGTGAATTTTGACTCGACTGGAAAGAAGAATGAGCGTACCATGGAGCGACGCAGTGGCAAGAACGTTGGGGTAAGGCTGGCGCTTCACCTGTGGAGGAACAGCAGCAGAAAAGCAGGGAGTAAGGCAGGAACAGCAGACGAACAGCAGAGAGGGGAGGGATGGCAGAAAAACGCAGGGACAAGCGGATCAGTCAGAAAAAGAGTGTTTCCAGCCCAGTTGACTTCTGATTCAACTCAAAAATGAAAAAGAGGGGATATGCTAGGAAGGAAAACAAGCAGGAAAATATGAATTGGAGAGAAGGACTTACATTGTCGACAGGAGAGTAAGACTTTATGTAGCGATAGTACTGCTCCTC